TGTGTGTGTGTGTGTGTGTGTGTGTGTGTTGGAGTCCGTCATCACTCCAGTTGGATATGGACACGCTGGGATCGATGCACCTGTGTGGATAATCAGAATTATTCAAAGTGCAGCCGGGTAACTGGAGAGCTATTTGAGAAATTGATGTTATCAGATCTGGGTTGCGATGACAAATCCATAACTCTGATCCAAAACCCGCCGAGCTGCTGCGCTGTCCTGAGCCTCACGAGTGACTGATGTAGAGCACACTACTGAGGGAACAACACCAGAGTCTCCACTCACAACTGAGTTCAGTAGAGTTTGATGTTAGTTTGTTGCAGTGCAATGCTATAATAATCATAACACACATGCCATGAATACAAATATTGAATAAAATGACCAGTGTTCTCATTTTAATTTTAGTTAAACTCTAATTTTACTAAATTTGAGGTATTTTGTTGTGTTTTTACATCAAATACATGAAAATGAGAATTTAGCATTTATTTTATTTCAAGTAATGAAAATGTTTTACAGTTCAGAGTTAAATGTAATAACCCTGGCCTCTATATTGACTTGCATTTTTGTTCTGTTTCCACTTTTTATTAATGATTTTAAAGAATTGCTGAATATTGGATTTTTAAATCTAATTTTTAAAGTATTGATATTTAGTAGTGGCTCCCGCAGCTCTTCTTATTCTTATATGTCATTCTTTAGACTGAAGCTCAGTGAGTGTTTGAGAAACATTTGAGAGTTTAGTTCAGTGAGCAGCCAGCGTTTGCTGTGAGCGTTCGTCAGCATCATCCTGCCCTTTTAGGGAGAAAACGCTTGTTCACCTGCTGATCGCATGAGCCGCCTGCGATTGTCACCTCCAGATAGTGTGTGTAACAGGATCTGGGGTTTCAGCTCTCTTCAGCTGTGTGTGTGTGTGGGTGTGTGTGAGAGAGAGAGTGTGTGTGTGTGGGTGTGTGTGAGAGAGAGAGTGTGTGTGTGTGTGTGTGTGAGAGAGAGAGAGAGAGAGAGAGTGTGTGTGTGTGTGTGTGTGTGTGTGTGTGTATTCTCCTGAATGCTGCTGGTTAATTCCACAGTTTGGCTGCTGGTTAAATATCTTACAGGTGTAAAGTGGAATTCTGGGTCAGGCTTTTTGCTTTTTGTTTGGAAATGTTACATCATTTTCAGAGATGGAAGAGTAACATTATGTTTACATGTAGACATAGTCAACATTTTTGTTCAGAGATTTTAGTGCTGGGCTTTATGTCCAAATATATATATTTATAGTATATTTATATGTATTTATTGGTATTTTTCTTTGCATGACTGCACCTTTATATGTGTTTACAGTGATTTATTTTAATGTCATGGGTACATAAAATATCAAAACATTGCAATGTCAAATATAAATATACTACCAAAAACAGTCATAATCAAATTTATTTATATAACAAACTATTTAGTTAATCTTTTACAATTTAATCAAATTAATATGTAACAATTCCTTTTATTGATTTATTTTTTACTTTTTAAATTGAGACATGGATGAAAAATTTTGTGATTTTCTTTAAAAAATAATGTTTTAATAAATAGTAGTAGTAGTACCTTAAAAAGTACATTTTCCTTTGCAATATATTTCTGTCATAATTTCTTCAAGTTAGAGCAAACTTTTATTTTGGCGGGTTGTAGTGAAGACTTTGGAGGTTCTGTGTGTTTAAATAAATATAACTTTGAGAAGTATATTCTACTGTGCAGTGGTAATATATTTCTGTTATAATTTCTTCAAATTAAACCAAACTTTTATTTTGACGGGTTGTGGTGAAGTGGCGATCTTGAAGTTTTTTGTGTGTATATGATGATATGATGATAGTTTTTATGAAATGCTAACACTGACTCTGTTACAGTTTATTATTAATTGTATGACTTCTATTCACTTCATTCGTTTAGCAGACGCTTTAGTCTGAACTGACTTACAAATAAAGAAAATCTCAATCAGTTTATCATAACAATGCAGAAAAATGCAGAACAGGTGAGAAAGCGAGAACTGTCTCTCTTAACTCTGTTAGCTTAGAGTCGAAGCGTCTTTGCCTAAAAAAAAGTGGTTAAGTGCTGTTTCACATTCACAAACAAAAGACAAAAAAATCTTAGATAGGAAGAATCTTTGCTTTGATTTGATTTTTATGGCTGCCGTTACATCTGCCAAAAGCACAGCTGGTTCACTTAGAGAAACAGCAAGTATCTGCGGGGTCAAAGGTCATACGGGGTCACTGTGACCCTGCTGAACATCTGTTACTGTAGACCGGGGTTAATCGACTCCAACAATCATTATGAATAATGAACGAGAGTCGAGACAGAATATTTAGTCTACTTTGATTTTGTTCACTTTTGCTTATTTTTTATTTAGATTGAAGATTATTGGACTCATTCTATTTAATTTCCAGATTTATTGCAGTAAAGTAATAAAACGAGAGATTGTTGAGAAGTCATGATCAGAATAGGACCGTCAGATTGCATGAATTTACATTTAGACATTTAGCAGACGCGTTTATCCAAAGCGACTTACAAATGAAGACAATAGAAGCAATCAAAATCAATAAAAGAGCAATGATATGCAAGTGCTATAACAAGTCTCAGTTAGCTTAACGAAGTACATGCACCAAGGGTTTTTTAAATAATATAATAAATAAAAAGAAAACAGATAGAATAGAAAAAGAATAGAGCAAGCTAGTGTTAGAACATAACATAACATAGTTACATTAATTTAATGCTATTCTATATTTTACCATTCAAAAGTTTGGGTTCGGTAAGATTTTTAAAATGTTTTTGTCTCTTCGGCTCACCAAGGCTGCATTTATTTGATTAAAAATACAGTAAAAACGTGATATATTATTACAATTTAAAATAACTGTTTTCTATGTGAATATCTGTTAAAATTAGCGCTGGCAAACGATTAATCGCGATTAATCGCATCCAAAATAAAAGTTTTTGTTTACATAATATATGTATGTGTACTGTGTATATTTATTATGTCTATATATAAATGCATACACATACAGTCAATACTTTGAAAATATTTGCATGTATTTACATGTATATTTAATTTATATTCTTATATTTTATATTATATATAAATATATTTTATACATATAAACATAACATATTTTTCTTAAATATTTACAGTGTTTGTATTTATATATACATAATAAATATATACATTATACACACATATATTATGTAAACAAAAACTTTTATTTTGTATGCGATTAATCGTAGTGCCAGCACTAATTAAAATGTAATTTATTCCTTGTGATGTGCAGCTGTATTTTCAGCATCATTCCTCCAGTCTTCAGTGTCACATGATCTTCAGAAATCAGTATAATATGCTGATCTGCTGCTCGAGAAACATTTCTGATTATTATCAATGTTGAAAACAGTTGTGCTGCACAAACCGTGATAAATTTAATTTTTCAGGATTCACAGATGAATAGAAAGTTCAAAAGAGCAGCATTTATGTAAAATAGAAATCTTTTGTCACGCTATAAATGTTACTTTTGATCAATTGAATGCATCCTTGCTGAATGAAAGCATTAACACATGTAGTATAAGTCAGGTTTGTGTATTGTGTGGAGAATGTTTGTGCTCTTTCTGTTCTCCAGCCTTTGACTGATGGACACATTTGCCACCTGTTGTTTCGTCAGAGGTAGCGTATGATAATGCAGCTTAGCAGTCTGAGGTAATGCTGTATTTTTAGGCCCTGGTCGGTGCGTCGGTTCGGTGTGGGAGCGCTTTTGTGTTTCTCGTCGAGGCATGTGAGACACGCAGCACCTCAGATACCTGCAGAACGAGCTCACGGATCCTCTGCGTCACTCGACGAGTCCATCTCTCTGTGTGTATTTTAAGTGTGTGTAAGTGGGCAGGTGTAGCAGTGAGAAAAACCAGGTCATAATCCTCGCTTAGATGCGTCACCTTCCCAGCTAATGAAGCGTAACACGGAAACAGTGTCCTGAGGGAATGAGGACTTCATCTAAAACACACACGGGATCTGCCCTGCCTGTGACCACAATCATATATCATGGAGACGTTATATAACATCATCAAAATATTTCTGCTCGCTATTTGTGATTATTCAGTGAATTCAGTTCATTAAAAATTAAATCCATTTGATCTCGATGAATTCACTCCATCTCTGTTTTTTTTTTTTTTTACATTTCTAAGGTGTTCTTGGAGGTTTATACAGTAGGTGGTTGTTAGGGTGTTCTGGGTGGTTGCTAAGAGGTTGCTAGGGTGTACTGGGTGGTTGCTAGGAGGTTCCTAAGGTGTTCTGGTAGGTTTCTACAGTAGGTAATTGCTAGGGTGTTCTGGGTGATTGATAGGGGGTTGCTAAGGTGTACTGAGTGGTTGCTAGGATGTTTCTAAGATGTTCTAGGTGGTTGCTAGGAGGTTGCCAAGGTGTTCTTGGAGGTTTCTACAGTAGGTGGTTGTGAGGGTGTTCTGGGTGGTTGCTAAGAGGTTGTAAGGGTGTTCTGAGTGGTTGATAAGAGGTTCCAAAGGTGTTCTGTGAGGTTTCTATAGTAGGTGGTTGCTAGGGTGTACTGGGTAGTTGATAGGGAGTTGCTAGCGTGTACTTAGTGGTTGCTAGGAGGTTTCTAAGATGTTCTGGGTGGTTGCTAAGAGGTTGTAAGGGTGTTCTGAGTGGTTGATAAGAGGTTCCAAAGGTGTTCTGTGAGGTTTCTATAGTAGGTGGTTGCTAGGGTGTACTGGGTAGTTGATAGGGAGTTGCTAGCGTGTACTTAGTGGTTGCTAGGAGGTTTCTAAGATGTTCTGGGTGGTTGCTAGGAGGTTGATAAGGTGTTCCTGGAGGTTTCTACAGTATGCGGTTGCTAGGGTGTTCTGGGTGGTTGCTAGGAGGTTGCTAAGGTTTTCTGAGTGGTTGCAAGGTGGTTGCTAAGATGTTCTGGGAGGTTTCTACAGTAGGTGGTTGATAGGGTGTTCTGAGTGGTTGCTAAGGTGTTCTGGATGGTTGCTAGGGTGTTCTGGGTGGTTGCTAGGAGATTGCTAAGGTATTCTGAGTGGTTGTTTGGAGGTTGCTAGGAGGTTTCTAAGATGTTCTAGGTGGTTGCTAAGGTGTTCTTGGAGGTTTCTACAGTAGGTGGTTAATAGGGTGTTCGAGGTGGTTGCTAAAAGGTTGCGCGGATGTTCTGAATGGTTGATAGGGGGTTGCTAAGGTGTACTGAGTGGTTGCTAGGAGGTTGCTAAGGTGTTCTGGAAGGCTTCTACAGTAGGTGGTTGCTAGTATGTTTTAGATAGTTGCTAGGTTGTTGCTAAAGTGTTTTTGGAGGTTTTCCACAGTAGGTAGTTGATAGGGTGTTCTGACTGATTGCTAGGGGGTTGCTAAGGTGTTCTGAGTGGTTGCTAGGAGGTTGCTAAGGTGTTCTGGGAGGTTTCTACAGTAGGTGGTTGATAAGGTGTTCTGAGTGCTTGCTAGGGGTTGCTTAGGTGATTGTTGTTGTTGCTAGGATGATGCTAAGGTCTTCTGTATAGTTTCTAGGTGGCTTGTCTGCAGCACAAATGCTGTAGGACGACACACACAAATACCTTTAATGCTTACAGTAATGCTAGAGGTCATTAACCCTCTATTTGTGCAATCATAGCAGTGACGTTTGCTTAGCAACCCACAGAAACTGTCATTTATCTGGCAGATCGTACTGTGCTGGTATTTTATCATAAGCTCCTCCTGTGTTGAAACTCAATGGTGTCATTAGCTTTCATGGGCTCTTAATGTTTTCTGGAGTGCATTATTTCATTAGCGAGGCCTCGAGTGGCCCTGAAGAGCGTTATTGCTCTGACTGTATGGAGCTCCAGATAAACTGGAGGAGCATCAATCACGAGGCTCCGCCCTCGATTATAATGGGCTCAGATGCAGCAGTGAGAGGAACGTGTTCTTGAGGGCCACTTCAGGGTTCCAGAGCCGCACCGCTGCGACTTACTGCTAACGAATGTAAATAATTGGTGCTCTTAATTGAATGGGAGGTCTTCATGAAGACTACATTAGAAGAGAGAGAAAAAATGATGAAAGGAGGCAGTGTTGATAGAGTCAGTTCTGCAATGCTCATCTGTTTGATTATGTGTGAGATTTATCTGTTGCAGTTCTCATGAATCTATCAATATATCTATCTATCGATCTATCTATCTATCTATCTATCTATCTATCTATCTATCTTATCGTAATGTCTATCAATCTATCTATCTATTCTGTCCATCCATCCAGCCATCATTCTATAATTCTGTCTATCAATCTGTCTATCATTCTAACCATTAATCCATCCAACCATCGACACATCCATCATTCTATCATTCTATCCATCCATCCATCGTTCTGTAGTTCTGTCAATCCATTGATCCATCCATCCATCATTTTATCTCTCATTCTGTCTATTGTTCTGTCTATCATTCAATCCATCCATCCATCATTCTGTCGTTCTGTCCATCGATCCATCCATCCATCCTTCTGTAGTTCTGTCCATCCATCCATTGTTCTGTCTATCATTCCATCCATCCATCCTTTTCTTGTTCTGGCCATCCATCATTTTATATGTCATTCTGTCTATCATTCAATCATTCAGTCTGTCTGTCTGTCAATCTATCTATCTGTATGGCTGATTGTCTGTCTGTCATTCGTTCTATCTATCCATTCATCTATCCGTCTCTCTGTCTGTCCATCACCACTTTATTTAAAACACATCGAATCATCCTCCATGTCCTCAGGTCAAATATTTCACCATATTACAGTTTTTCCTCAGTCGCTTTGGTGCATTTCTCACATCACTATTTACATCTGCACAACGGTTAATGCAGTTCTCAAAACAATTAGTACAAACTGCAAAACCTAGTTGATAACCTGCAAAAGCATGTCACTTGCTCAAAATGGATAGGTCATTCCTCAAAAGCAAGTATTCATGTCAATGAAAGTGTCATCAAGATGAAAAGTCCTAACGCCATTGTTTATGAACAAGATAGTCAAATGGCTTTGTCATGTTTTCATTATGACAGTTTACTCTGTCAATGTTTTCCAATGCAAAAAAGTCAGATCTTGGTGACACTACCTGAAAATGCTCAAGACAGCACTATATACACTATTTGCACAGCCATTTGAAAAATACAGTAAAGTTACACATTACTGTATTTAGTGAGGTAACTGAGTACAAGACACTGAATATGTATGTTTCACATTTTTACTGCATATGCTCTTTGCAATTCTAATTTGTTCACAGCATTGTGCAAAAGAAAAAAAAAATACACCCTTATTTACAACAAACATAAACTCCCTTTGGGTAGAGCTGTGCACAACATTGCAGTACATATTGGAACTGAACATACAACATACATAGTACTGTAATCATTCATGCACATCCAGACGATCCGCTCTGTCTGGCCACATAATTTCATCTACATCACAGCGAATATCATCTCTTGCAATGCAGCGAGGAAAGTATCTCCTCGAGTGGTGAATCCACCCTCTGCTGTCATGTCATCACATGCTGCATCCATGGCCGCTAGCAGGGCCATTTGGGTATGTGGATGCCGGTCATATACCTTCCACCTCCAGGAAGAGAAACTCCTCTACTGGATTTAGGAATGGTGAGTAGGGAGGGAGATATGCCATCAGCATCCTATCATGTGCTACAAACCACTGTCTGACGATATCTGAGTGGTGAAAACGCACATTATCCAAAACAACAACATGCTTGCTCAGATGGTCTCCAGTTAGACCCCTCTCATTCTCAGGGATTATGTCCCTGTAAAGAGTGTCTAAAAAAGTCAGCAGATGTTGTGTGTTGTATGGACCAAGACGGGGGATATGGGTGAGGACGCCGTTTTCTGAGATGGCTGCACACATAGTAATATTCCCTCCTCGTTGGCCTGGGACATCAATGGTTGCTCTCTGTCCAATGCGATTCCTTCCACGTCTTCTACCTTTTGCCAGATTGAAACTCGCCTCATCAAGGTATATGAATGTGTGCAGCGGTTCCCTGCCCTCCAGCTCCAGTACATGCTTTATTACAGAAGAGGGAGTGAGAAAAACTAACAACTTTTCCGGTGTAACAATGCATTTTGGACAACATATTGTACAGTATGCACTGTGAATACACATACACAGAACTGTCATGTAAGTGTAGTGCATGACACTACACAAAGTAAACAGTTTACAGCACTGAACATTAGAATATGCATAGAACACATACATGTTTTACCTGTACATACTGGTGACGGAGCTCCTTCACTCTGTCGCGGTTCCGTTCAAATGGCACACTGTACAATTGTTTCATGTGCATTTCATTCCTCCTGAGCACTCTGTCAATTGTAGCGAATGAAACGGATTCAATATTCCCAAAGATGTTGTCATCCTCTATAACAGCACTTTGTATCTCTCTCAACCTTACGGCATTGTTTGCAATAACCATTGCACAAATGACTTCCTCTTGTTGCGAAGTAAAAAGGGGCCCTCTTCCACCTCTGCAAGGTTGTCTTGCAATCCTGTGTGGTGCAGAGTAAAATTACAGTAAATATGGCAAATCTTTACTGTAACACTACAATACACTAAATGTGTGATGCAGTAAAGCTGTACGTCTGTACGTCTAATGTACAGTGACAAGGTCTTGTCCCACTGCAAGCTTCATGTATGACACAATGACAGTAGTGCAGTGCAGATGTGCAGATTCTGAATTACTGTCCATTTATACCTGTTCTCCCGACGAAATGTTTGAATAATTGAATTTACAGTGGTTCTCCCAACATTTGGCTGCACCCTTCGACCAGCCTCAGCCATTGTGAGG